TCAGGGATTGAACTTGGGTCCTTGCACTTGCAAGGCAGGTGGCAGAACCACTGAGCTAAATCCCCAGACTCTTTTTGAATATTTTAAAAGTAATTATTTTTTGTGTTTTGAAATGGGAGTCTTGCTGTATATTTCAGGTTTGCCTTGAACTCACTCTGTAGCCCAGGTTGGCCTTGAACTTATGGCAGTTTTCCTGCATCAGCCTCCTAAGCGAGGCCACCACATTGGCTTGTTTTACTTTGTCGCAGTGCTAGGCTTGCAGCCCTAGGTTCAAGCAGTCCTTCTGCCTCAGTCTCCTGAGTAGCTGGTACTGCAGGGTGCACCATCGCGCCTGCCTTGGTCTCAGGTCCCCTGGCCAGTGTCCCAGTGTCGCCAGCACGGAGACAGGCCGGGACAGACACTGCCCCGCAGCACCCAGGGAGCAGGTGTCTGGCGGGCAGGCGGGCGGCAGTGATGTGAGGCTCTCCCTGCAGGGCGGTGAGAAGCTGCAGGACGCCTACTACATCTTCCAGGAGCTGGCGGACAAGTGCTCGGCCACGCTGCTGCTGCTCACGGGGCAGGCGGCCTGCCACATGGCCCAGGGCCGCTGGGAGGCGGCAGAGGGGGTGCTGCAGGAGGCACTGGACAAGGTGGGTGTCACCAGGGCCGCGTGGGGGAGAGGCTGCTGGGCGGTCCCGAGGTCTGACAGGTCTGCTGCCCGCACCTGGGGCGGCTCGTCGGCCCGCCCGTGCTCTCCTCACATCTGGGTGACTCTGATAAGGCGCCCAAAGCCACGTGTCATCCCAGCTGCCTGGGAGGCCGAGGCAGGAGGATTACAAGTTGGAGCTTAGCCTTCATAACTCAACAGGGGCCTGTCTCGAAAAGCTAAAAGGCCTCTGTCATCCCAGCACTTGAGAGGCTGAGGCAGGAAGCTTGACATGAGTTCTAGGCCAGCCTGGGCTACAATAGTGAGTTCAAGGCTGGCCCGGCTTACATAGCAAAATTCCCCCCAAAAAGCAAACAGACTGTCAGCCCAGCCCCAAAGGGTGGCAGTCCTAGCTCAGCAGCCCTCAGCAGTGATACCTGTATGCAGGTGTCCCCGGGACCCTGCGCTCATGGGCAGGGCATGGGTGGTGGGGATGTCCCCGGCTTCTTCCAGTGCCCCGGACAGGTAGGTGACTGGTGACAGAACTCAGCAGAAGCCCAGGCATCCTGGCCCTCGGGATTTGTGGCAGATGGGCCCCGAAGTGCAGGCCTGGGGCTGTGTCACCAGTCGTGATGTGGGCAGCGGGAGGCAGGGCTGCTGGGTTTGGGTGCCATTGTCCCGGTCACCATGGTGCAGCTGGGACACGCTGCATGAACCCCGGGCCAGCTGCTGGGTGGGCTCGGGGACCGAGTCACTGACGCTGACCCCGTCCCCTGCTCCAGGACAGCAGCCATCCCGAGACGCTGGTCAATATGGTCGTCCTGTCACAGCATCTGGGCAAGCCCCCCGAGGTAGGCAGTGCCACGGGGCATCTGTCTCTGTTGGCTGTGGGGGTACAGAGTGACGAAGCGGTGGGAGAAGGGTCTGTACAGGGCGGAGGCTCGGTTCCTTGCTCCAGGGGCACCTGGGCCTGGCCAGCTGTCTCTTGCTGGGGGAGCTCTGGAGCCCTCACACCCCGGGGCAGGCCCATCCTGAAAGACAGCTTCGGTCACATGGGCTCTGCTGCCCCTGGAACCCGAGCGATCTCGGTGTGAGGCCAGAGGTGGAGCCCTTGACACAGTTGGACACCACGTCGGTTGCTTATCTAGGTGTCCTGAATCTGCAGACCTTGAGATGACATCTGCTCAGGGTCACGCAGCCTGGTTTTGTTGGAAACAGCATTTAGAAAGTTTACCATCTTATGTAATCGCAGCACTCATTCAGGAGGCTGAGGCAGGAGGATCACCATGATTTGGAGACCAGCCTGGGCCACACAGTGAGACCCTGCCTCAAAAAAAACAGACATTTTACCATCTGCATCAGCTTTCCCCTGCCAGGACCCAGTTCCCAGCAGTCACAATTTAACCCCTGGGGCAGTGGTTACACTCGGCCCATGTTTTCTGGGGCTCAGTCCCAGGTAGAAGGATTGTGGTGGGGCAGAGCTGCACAGCTCACAGTGACCAGGAAGTTGACGGAGGACAGTGCGGGGTGGGGGACTGTGTGGCACCCGGAGCCACACCCCGCGACCCTCCCCGTGCGCCAGAGCGTGCTGTGCTCACCCAGCAGGTGCTAATGCAGCATTAATGGCCACGCTCACCTTTGGCCTTATGTGTAGTGCTTCAATTTTGCAGTACTGGGGGTTGGACCCAGAACCATCACACTGAGCCCTGTCCCTGGCCCTTTTTCATTTTCCAGTGTGAGGCAGGGTCTCTGAAAGTTGCCCAGGCTGCGCGCAAGTGCGCGGTCCTCCTGCCACAGCCTCCCTGAGCACCGGGAGGGCGGGTGTGCACCACCACGCCTGGCCGCAGAGGGCCCTGCTGGTGTCTGGCTGTGGATGGTCAGGGCTGGCTCCAGGGGTCCAGCCGAGGCATGGGTGGCCTGATCCTGCCTCCACGCTCACCTGCCCTTCAGAACCTCCACCCACCCTCCCTAGCCCGAGCCCGCTGTCCACGTCCCTCTGTGGTGCTACAGCAGCTAGGGGGGCGCAGACCCAGGTCACCCCTGCCCCTCAGCCTGGTGCAGGGCAGAGAGGCCGGGACCCTGGCCCAGCGGCCCCCACCTGCAGGTCCTGCCTCTGGCTGACCTGGCCCACTGTCCCACAGGTGACAAACCGCTACCTGTCACAGCTGAAGGATGCCCACAGGTCACACCCTTTCATCAAGGAGTATCAGACCAAGGTGAGCGTCTGCACAGGCCTGTCCCCGGCCCCGCCTGTGGGGACGGTGCGGGGCTCACGTGTCCTCCCTCCCTCTCTGTCCCCGTCCCTTTCCACTGAAGGAGAACGACTTTGACCGCCTGGTGCTCCAGTACGCGCCCAGCGCCTGACAGCCACAGGACACCTGGGCCAGGCCCCCACCCAGCCTGACCCTCAGCCTCGCCCGTGCCCTGCGCTGCCAATAAATGTCTCGCTCTGGCATCGCTGCCCACGCTGTGGTCTGCACCGTGGGGGCGTACGCGTGGGAGGACCGGGGGCAGCCTCAGGTGGCGACCACGGAGACTGAGGCCCAGGCCCAGCCTGTAGCCCAGCAATGTGTGTCAGGGTCCCAGCCTGGGACCTCGGCCAGGACACGATGGTCTCCACGCCTGTGTCCCTGAAGCTGAGCGGCGTGGCCACTGGAACTGAGAGCCCCGGGGGCCGCGCTCAGGCCCTGGGCCCACTGCTGAGCCGGCTGCCCGTTGCCTGTGGAGCGGCCCCACTTGCTGGCGAGCGGTAGGACAGCCTGACATGAGTGGCCTCTGCCAGCCTCAGCCAGGGTGATCCTGGCAGCCAGCGAGGACAGGGCGGCTGGGTGGTGACATCCAGAACTGGTCCCTGAGATGCGCTTGCTGGTGTGGGGGAGCCCTGCAAACCCCCACTGCATTCGCCACCAAAGAAACTGAGCCGGTCACTCTCCTGTTACCGCTGATGGGTGCCATGGCGACCAGATAGCGCAGTGGTTGCCTTCTGGCCTCTAGCTGGGCCTCCAGACCTGCACCCCTACCTGGGCCAAACCCTCACTCACTGTTCACTGCAAACAGCAGTGGGCAGGTGACCTGCGGGGATGTGGCATTAAATGTGGTCACAAAGCCCACTGAGCAGGTGACTGGGCAAGGCTGAGGGTGGTAGTGAAGATACCAGGTGTCAGCTTCCACGAAAGGCCGGGCCGGGCCGGGCCGGGCCGGGGAAAAGCCACTCACCCAGCTGGGGCTGTGGGCGGGTGGGCCAGGACCCAGGGCGGAGGCCGAGGTGGGCCTGGGCAGGTGGGAGCTTGACGGGGAGGAAGGACTGCTGGTCTCACCGTGCCCAGGCCAGAGCAGGAGCCAGGCTATCTCCTGCCGGGCACTGGTGTCCAGGAAGCCGTTTTCCCCAACTGAGGCCACGGATGATGTCCTCATCCGTGACTCTCAGGGTGCTGGGCCTGGCCAGGGGACGGTCACCTGGGGTGGTCTCAGTCGTGTGATCTGTGAGTTGCACTAGAGATGGAACCCAGGGCCTTTGCACTCAGGTATTCTTTTATTTTTTAAGACAGATTAAGTTCAAATTTGCAATCCTCCTGCCTCAGCCTCCCAGAGTGCTCGGATCACAGGCAGGCACCACCATGCCCAGCTAAGATGGAGGTCTTGATCCAGCTTCTTTCCCCGCTCACTCCAGGATGTTGCCCACCCCAGCCTCCCAGTGGGCCATGGTGACCTATGCCGCGTGGCCCTGGACTGCCCCAGTCCTCCTGCAGGCAGCCCTAGTCTCAGCAACTCCAGTCACTTGAGGCCCTGCAGCCTGCCGCAGGCCGAGGAGCAGGACCCTCTCCAGGCCAGGAGAGGGAAGGAGGAACCCCCCTGGGATCCTTCATTACCCCAGGCCGTGATGCGGGGAGTGGGGAGGCCACCGGGTGGTCGGAGGCTCAAGTCCTAGGCCGCAGGTCCACGGGGCTCAAGGGCTCTTCACTGCGAGAAGCTGGTGCCCACCGTGCCCGTGACTACTGTGCCCGTGACGCGGACCCGCACGGCAGGAGCCTGCGCTGGGCACGCGCACGCGCGCTGGGGACGCGGGGAGCGA